TCAGGCCTACATCAAGGAACATGCTCATATCCATGAGAGGCAAATGGTCCTGGGGAATGAGGGAGTTGATCACAACTTCACGAAAATCGCTAGGGTCAACGATGGAGGGAGAAGCAATCTCAGACGACGCTACGGCAGCTGTGATTACAGGCTGGTAGTCGGCAACAATCGTTGGCACTACATCTACGTCGATGGGCGGGAATGCACAACGCGGGATCACTACACCAGCCGTGGTGGATGGGACGCTTGAAGTCGCACTCGCAGACGAAGTTACAACACCGGCAGCGACTCCACCGGTGGACTGGAAGCTCGCACTCGCACTGGCACTCGGAGGTACAACACCGGCAGCGGCACCACCGGCGGACTGGAAGCTCGGATTCGCACTCGAACTCGAAGGTACAACACCGGCAGCGACTCCACCGGTGGACTGGAAGCTCGCACTCGCACTGGCACTCGGAGGTACAACACCGGCAGCGGCACCACCGGCGGACTGGAAGCTCGGATTCGCACTCGAACTCGAAGGTACAACACCGGCAGCGACTCCACCGGTGGACTGGAAGCTCGCACTCGCACTGGCACTCGGAGGTACAACACCGGCAGCGGCACCACCGGCGGACTGGAAGCTCGGATTCGCACTCGAACTCGAAGGTACAACACCGGCAGCGACTCCACCGGTGGACGGGAAGCTCGTACTCGCATGTGTGCCCCCTCCTGTGTTTGGGGGGAAAGAGGGGTTCGCCTCAACAAGGCCTGTCCCAACGCTAGGCGGGGGAGCTTGGGGAGACACACGAGGGAGGGCATCGGGACCGAGGGTTACAGCACTACCGGTATACGTGGGAGGCAAGCGAGTGGCCCAAAGGGGGCATCCTACATAGGAGTAAGCAAAGGAAAGCTGGCCAATGAATAGATGCACGTCATTTTCATCCAACGTAATTCTCTGCCTACGCTGCGTATGGTGCAGGGAAAACAGATTGAACGTGATGCCGGGGACTACGTACACGTCCGACATCTGCACGCAAAAATCGGTCTCGCCCGAAGGGCCAGGCATGTGAAATGCCATGTTGATGCTACCAACACATTGCACGCGCAGATAGGCACCATTCCCTACTTGGATGAACTCTTTTCCTGCTGGGATCGGCTTCATGTCGAACATGTTTTCGCAACTGCTGACAAACATGTTGCTTGCGCCGCTGTCGGCCCAAAATCGCTCTCTACCATTCTGCGAAGGGCGACTCTGAACAGACAAAGCGAAACCACTACCATTCTCACGCGCTACCACACTTGGAAAGATCTCGCCTTGTGACACAAAACGTGTCTTGAGGAAGTGAAGATGCCCAGGGGATCCGGCTGCATCGGGAGGAGGCGAATTGTACGGGGCATGGGTCAAGTGCTGCTGCGGCTGCGGCTGCTGCTGGAACGACGGCGGTGGCGGAGGTTGCGGCGGTGGCTGCTGCTGCTGCTGGTAGTACGTTGTCGGAGGCGGGTAATACGGCTGCTGCTGGAAGCTGTAGTCTGGCAAAGGTTGCTGATACTGTGGCTGATGCTCCCACCCCCCATACTCGTTACCATACGTGGTCCCCTCATGGGGCGCGGCACCATACGGTTGACTTACTTTTGCATGCCTGTACGGGGGCCGCCGCTGCTGCTGCGGTGTACGAGGGGGAGCTGGATGTCCATGATGCTGCTGTCCTCCGTAGCCGCCGTGAGGCCAGTGCCGGGGCCCACCTCCCCAGCCCCCCCCACTGCGGCTCCGCTGCTGCGGCGGCGGTCCCCGAGGTTGCCGTTGCTGCTGAGACGGCTGCTGTTGCGGGGGCTGTTGCTGTCGTTGGGGCTGCTGCTGTTGTTGAGGCTGCTGCTGCTTGGTCTCCTGCTTCTTCCGTTGCCGACGCTGGGTGTAGCACTCCCTGTTGGTGTGCGACGAGTACGGATGATAGTCGCAGCGCCTGTCTCCGTCCGCCCTGTTGTTGCTGCTCCGACCGCCTCCATTGCCGTCCTGACCCCCGCCGTTCCCACTGGACCCATTGTGGACACGTCCGTCGCCCCGGTTCCCACCGGCAGCGACGAAAGCGTGCCCCATATCATTCTGCGGCTCCCCCTCCCGTGCGGTCACCATATCCTGATGGGCATCTTTCACCACCTTTTCAAGGTGCTGACGGGTCAAATTCGGGGGCGGAAGGGCACGCAGCAAAGCTTTCTCCATATTGTACTCGGACGACAAGTTGTACACAACGTGCAAATTGGCATCATCGTCGGGGTATGTGACGCCGTGTGAGGCTAGCCTACTGCGCAAAACAGAAAATCTGCCAAAGTATTCCTGCGGACTTTCACCCACTCGCATTCTCATGGCATGGTATTCCGAAGTCAACCGTGTTTTTTCTGCTCTCGCCTGGGGTTCGTAATATGCTAGAAATAGTTTCCAACCCCCACTGGGACTACCATCAGCAATAATCTGGGTCAAGACAGGCATGAAGGTGATTGTCGTGATGATCAAATTCCACGCCGTGATCGCCTTTTCTACCGTATCAGGCGAGTGCATCCTACGCAAGTCCTCCATGTTTACTCCTTCTGGCCCGACTGGAATTCTGTGGTCACTCAGTACCACTTCCGTGACTCCTTCTTGCGCAAACACAGCGATCATGTTCGATCGAAAAATAAAAAACCTTGCCTGTTCATCCTCCCTTGCTCCTTGCCTATACATACCATCCCTTTGCCTATACATACCATCCCACGGCGCTAGGCGCTTAACCTCAGTCATCCTAAGAGTGGCTGCGCTAGTTGGTACTCTACCCGTGTCTGCGGGTGATATTTGAAGACGGCTGGTCAGGGCGTCGGCGAGAGTGCGGGCGATGTCGTCTGCGGACGGGCCGGCCGATGGTCGCCCCGCATGTTGCTGGTGGCGTGTCTCGTGGTCGTTCCCGCTTCGGATGTGATCTGTCCTCTGCCGCTGCTCGTCTTGTTGCCTTGTAATCTCGGCCAGTCTCGCTGCTACCCTCTCGTTCACCAACTCGTTGATCCGGGCGTCGTCGTCCACTGCTTGACGGTCGCTCTCTCGGTCTCGGTTTCGATCGCGGGTGCTCATCGGCGACTGCTGCTGATCGCCGCAAGGCAATGTCCAAACTAAGCTCGACGCGAATATCGTTGACGACGTGTCATACGCTAGCGTGATCGATAATTCGGGTGGCTCAGTTCTGTGTGTTGGGAGTGTAGAGCAGCTGGGCCATGACGAGCCGTGGTAAGGGAGGGACGTATAGTATAGGAAAACGTATTGTATTCTTCGGGGGCGTGCTCGTGCTCGTAAATCTGTCACGGCATCAAGAACACGTCACGCTCATCACCCACAAACTACCGAACGGATCTCTCTGATTCCTCCGCATCTCATCACTGCAATTTCCGTACGTACATCGATGTGCTTCGAGTTTGAGTTCGTGATCGGGTTGTGCGCNTGCAACGCAAAAGATTCCTTGCTGATAGCCTTCGTCAAGAAATCTGCATGCTGAAACTCCGACGTCACATGCGTAATCGAAATCTCCTTCCTCTCTACCAGTTCCCTGATAAAGTGATGCCGTACATCGATGTGCTTCGAGTTTGAGTTCGTGATCGGGTTGTGCGCAATCTGAATCGCTCCCTGATTATCCTCGAAGACCGGAATGCACGACATATCTGCATCTAGCAACATCAAACGCCAAACCTGCCTCAAGAAAAGCACTTCCTTCAAGACGTCGGCAATTGCCACATACTCTACTTCCGTTGTGGAGAGCGTAACGCACTTCTGCGTCCTCGAAAACCAAGTCACACCCCCACCCCCACACATCACTACTCCTCCTGAGACCGACCTCCGGTCTGCTGCCTTGCTTGCATTGTCGGCATCCACAAACACCTGCATGCTCATGCCAGTGACCACTCCCCTCTCAAATGTAATCCCCATCCAACTCGTCCTACGCACGTACCCTAAAATACCAAGTGCTGCCTTCCAGTGCACCATCTTGGGAGACGCGCAATACCGCGCTACTGCTCGTACTGCATTCGCGATGTCCGGCCTGGTTTGAGTGGCCAACCACATCAGAGATCCTACCAACTCGCGAAACGGGACATCAGCACACGCTTCGTTTTCGTCAAAGTCGGTGAGCTTCACGCTCACAGGCNGAGTGGCCAACCACATCAGGAATCCTACCAACTCGCGAAACGGGACATCAGCACACGCTTCGTTCGCGTCAATGTCGGTGAGCTTCACGCTCACAGGCAAGGGCACACTCTTCCCTCACTCAACGCCGTACTCTGCAGCCAACTCTTCTGCAAACCTTTGCTGCGGAATCTTCAACAGCTCTCTCTCTACTTCTCTCTCGTAAAAGCACGCGGAGTACCACCTCTACTCTACAAGGTTTTTCAAGGGGACCATTTCGTTGAGGTCACTGCCAAACTTGTCACATCTCTCCTTCCGCCCTACGGCAAAAATGTCACCCACGTGGACCACAATGATCATGATCACACATCCATCCTCCATCAATCGAAAAACACATGCATCCGCCAAACATTGCACAAATCCTAAAAGTAACAAACACTTCGTCAGGTGCGCATGCCATTGTCGTGATGCCTGCTTCAAGCCGTACAGACTCTTGTATAGCTTCACGATCAGTCCAGATAACCTGCCACAACCTTGCGGGAGACGCATGAAAACATCATCTTCAAGCTCAGACTGCACAAATGCCTGCTGAATATCGAAATGGCACAAGTCAAGGTTCTGCTCACATGCCAATGCTGCCAACAAACGCACACTAGACACGGATACGGTGGGTGCAAACAATTCTCCAAAATCAATCGAAGCCCTCTGCATGTCCCCTCGCGCTACAAGTCGTGCCTTGAATTTCGTCGGCCATCCGTACTCGTCTGCCTTACAGTTGAATACCCACTTGGCGTTGATGAAGTTTTCTACTGGTTGCTACACCGGACTAAAAGTACCTGCATCCAGCAGACCGAAAAACTCACGACCGACTGCATCATCCCACAACTCTGAATGTTGAGACCGCATGGCCTCCTTGAACGTTTTCGGCACTCGGAGGTCGCTGGCGAGGCAGTGAGGAAGGTCCGGCGTCTTGTCAGGAGGGCGCTTGGCACGAAGAGTGGCTTCCACATCCTCGCGGGTGGCGAACATTGCTGCGAACATGTGCATGCCCCCCGGCCCCCCAGCCGGCCCTCCCGCTCCCATGGCCTGCTAAACTCGTATCTTGCGGCGGTGGGGGAGCGGGAGGGGCGATGTTGGCGGACGGTGGC